AATATTTAGATCAGACACAACTTAAGTTTTGTTTAAAACTCCAAAGCTTACATGGCCTTTCTATGTAGGCTATGTATACACTTTTCATGTGGTTCTGAGTTAACCACACTTATGGCTTCATTCATTTGGCTCTGATTCATCATATATAGATGATAATTTAGATAACAATTTGCCACCTGTGCACCATTTTTCATTACTTTGCATTTACCTTTCTCAAAAATTATAGTGTAGCCATCTTTATTTAGACTTGATACACTTAGAGCCTCGTGGAGCAGTGGTTAAAACGTTGTACTGCAGCTAAAACTGTGCTCACGACTGGGGTTCAAATCCCAGGTAGCCGGCTCAAGATTAACTCAGCCTTCCATCCTTCCGAGGTCGGTAAAATGAGTACCCAGCTTGCTGGGGGGGGGGGCAATGTGTAGCCTGTATAATTAAAAAATTGTAAACCACCTGGAGAGTGCTTGTAGCGCTATGGGGTGGTATATAAGTCCAATAAATAAATAAATAAATAATTCTCTAAGCTTGACACACACAAGATTTTTATAGTTTGCTTTAAGCAGTTTACATACATAGAACCTGTTCCAATTACAGATGCTGACTTTCCATCTGCTAGCTTCACTATCTTTTGAGCTGAAGGGGTTAGGTTTGTGAACAACTCCGTCTATTTTTTCCCCAAGAAGCACCTTGTTTTGCCTTTAAGAATTTTTTTAAAATGGTACGTCTTACAACAGTAATTTCTCCCTTAATGCCAGTGAAAGACTAAAGCAGCATGCAAGATTCAGTTACTGAACCTTATGCCAAAATCAAGAACCAGAATATTGTTCAATCCTTTAATCACCCAAAACTGTCAGTATAATAAATTGCTACTATTGTGGGTTTTTCCTGTTTAAAAAGGCCCTGCAAACACAACATATACTTTCACTGCAGTATGTCGACATTTCATTGCAGCTTCTTATCACAGATTTTGTACTACAAACCCACGACTTTAAAGCTACGAATTATGTCTAAACAAAGAATTGTGGGCTTTTTTTAGAGGGCCTGACTTTCAAAAGAAGAAATCAACATCCAAATACTGTATTAGGTTATTATTTGAATTTAAAATGTTCTTGAACCTTTAGGGGAAATTCATGCCAAGATGGTTAAATAATTTACTTTCTAGTTGTTTAACATCAAGGTCATAGTTCATCCTTCATTTTCACATATGCCCATCTCTATCAGATTCACAATTTAGGGAGAAAAAAGAATTACTAAGTAATTAAGGTTAGGGTAAATAAGAGGCATACCTATGTTTGTAAACACCTCTTTCTTAGGAACTATCATGCTAAAGATTACTCTTCACATGAAATAAACATATGGTTCTGTATAATCAATACAAGATTATTGATAAGAGGCTACTCAGTGCTCCAAAACATGTGGAGAAATGTTTGTTACATTTGCAACCTGCCCTGCTTTCCCAATGAGAGCACAGCAAAGTACAGGGTTTATTTTATGTCTAAAGCCACAGGCAAAGTAGGTTAACTTGAAGAGTACCAAACACTTATTGAATATCAAGACTGGGGATTACAGAAAGCAGTTAATATGTGCATTTTTTGTTGGGTAAAGAGTAGGCAGCAGGGAAACCTGAGCATCCTCAAGACTGTGGGGAAGTAGAGACTTTTTCCACATCATGCCACAGTCCTAACTACAATCCCTTTGCACACTGTACTTATTTGCATTTCAAGGGAATCTTCAACTCTAGCTTCACCCAGCTACTACTTTCATTTTTCAAAAAGCATGCATATTAATAGCATTCACCGTGCATTTTCTGTAGTTTGTCCATTTATGGGGATCTGAACCAGAATCTTGCAAGCACAGACATATCCAGCCTCTACAGTCTAACACTTCGGGAACATACTACTCAAATGTATTGCAAATCAAGAAATAGGGAACTAGATCTTACCAAGCTACAGCAACAGAACATAAGAGAAGTGTATCAAGAATCACAGCATTTTAGAACTAGGAAGTTGTTTATTCCAACTTGCGCCAAACTTACTACATGCCTGTCAAGTTGCCTTCCAGTCTTTGTTTAAATATCTCTAGTGTCTTTACGCCAATAATCTTCCAAGGCAGTTGGTTCATTTATCAAATAGTCCCTACCATTAGGAAGTTTCTCCTAAAAAATAACTGAAGGCTGCTTCCTTGAACTTTCCACCAGAGGCTGCAAATTGTAACATACTGTATTACTTGTTACACGTTAATTTTTATAAGCAATATATTAATCATTTTCAAAACTCACCAGTAATGCCTCATATGTTTTCATGCTGTTTTTCATCTTTTTTAAAACATTCTGAAAGCCCTTCATCATGAATGCAGGAAAAATACCTATTCTTTTTTTCTTTCTTTATATTCTAATTACAAGCCATGAGGGATACACACACCTTCTTTGAAAGGGTAACAACTCTCTAGGAAACCGTACAGTTCTTAAAGGCCTGTAAAGAAGGCACACAGATCAGCTACATGCCCTGCTTCCAAAGGAATCCCTCTTACCCAGGAAAAAGACGGCGAAAAGTCAACACTGCCAGCAGCATGCTGAAAACCCCCATCTTTCAGGAGGAACAAGGCAAAATCCCTTTCTAGTCACTGCAAAACAGTGAGCTCATTCATCACATTTCAATCACAACATGGTGTTTTGCCCTTATTATAAAACCTCAGTGAACGGCAATGTTATATTTCTAACCTGTTACTCGCAAGCTCTGCTTTTTGCCTATTCCATTTTTGTTCTGTGCTCTGGGAACTAGTCTGCTCCATCATTTGTCTTCAAATATTTGAAGACAATTACAGTATTGTTTCTTTCCTGTATCTTTCCTCCTACAGACTGAATATACCTCAATGAACCGTTCCTCATGATTAGGGTTTCCAGACCTTATGTATCCCGAGATGTTTTCTGAGTATCAGTCACTTGATAGTCATATTTCACAAGCATTTATATCAGACTTCCAGATTAATGATATGTGAGATCTGTAAGATCTTTATGAGATGTTTTACATGCCTTTCTTCCAGAAATACTTTTAAACTGTCCACAAAGCAAAAGGCGATGGTCACACCTATTTTCAGAAACAGATGCCCAACTCTGTTCAGAACAGCAGAATTAAATAATTCCATCTTCACAGAGGTCTCCATTCCACTATTTATTTTCAGGGGTTCATTGGACATTGCTTGCAAGAGAAAACTACAGAAGCCCTTGCATTTTCCACTGGTAACTCCTTGAAGAAAGGTTGGATTGATTTCCATGAGCCAAATTAAACTCCAAAAGATGATAAATGGCACCACCCTTCTCCGTATCCAGAAGTAACCCCTGCTATGTTCAGTGGGGCTTACTCCCTATGTAACTCTCTTTTCAACTCACATTTTTATAAGAAGTAGAATTTAGATTACTTTTAGAGATACATGTTTAAGTTCAGGCTCAAACTGAAATCAAATCTTCCCCTACCCCCTGCCCAGTTCAAAAGGACACATTTGGGAATGTGACACTTAACCTTAATAAGCAATGTTCCATACTCAGCAAAGTGTGCTGCTTATATACCGCTCCATAGCGCTTCAAGCACTCTCTGGACGGTTTACAAGTTAATTATGCAGGCTACACATTGTCCCCCCACAGCGGGCTAGGTACACATTTTACCAACCTCGGAAGGATAGAAGGCTGAGTCAACCTTGAGCCGGCTACCTGGGATTGAACCCCAGGTCATGAGCAGTTATGGCTGCAGTACAGCAGTTTAACCACTGTGCCACAAGGTTCTCTAAAAACAGGTAAAAACAGGGCACTTCACAGGACTATTTTTAGAAAGACATATCCAGATATTAGGTACATGGATAGCTCAGTGAGTTAGGTATCTGGCTTCAGAGCCAAGGGCTGGGAATTTGATTCCTCACTGTGTATCTCAGGAAAAGAGCCAGCATTGGGCAAATTGCACAGTCCCAGGGTTCCCCCAGAAGGAGGAAAGAATAAGTAACTTATGAGTACTTGTGAAGGACAGGGAGAATGGGGAACCCCATTAGAAGAGAGGACAGCCCACTCTTTGGGGAGGCATGTGAAGGAGATCAGGAGGCAAGTGAGAAGGATACAAGAGGGATAATAGAGACTTTAGTGGAGGAAAAGAGGAACGTAGAGGTTTGTTTAGTGAAGAAGGGAGAAGGAAAGGGGAGGAGCTATGGCTTTCAATGTGGGAGGAAGATATAAGAGGGGGAAGGAAGGAGATTTGGAAGTAGGTTGGAAAGAGAGAGTAAGAAGAATGTAGAATCAGCTAAAGTGGATCAAAGGGAACAAAAGTATGAGCAAATGCAGGATTTGCTGAAAGATTTTCCAAACCTTAAAGTAGTAGGTTTGCTGCCCAACCCAGAGATCTCCAAAGAAGGGGAGACTATCTACGAGACGCTGGAATGGCCAGTGATAGTGTTCCAGTGGGGGCAAGGTTGTGGGAAAAAGCTGACACGCCCTGGTCCGATATACAACTCTCCGGCAAAAGGAGACTGGGCGCGTCACCTGTTGTGGGATGGTGTGCACGATGAGGAACGCAGTCCTGTGCAAGATCACCGACCGAGAACAACTTGGCCCTGCACCGCAGTGAATAGAACACCAGTAGAAGAAAAGTCTACATGGACTAGTTATGGCTAGCTACCTGATCTGTCTTGTTTTGACCCCATTGGTTTAATGATTAATACGCCACAAATTAATAAAGTTGAAGAGAACAGTTTAAATCAGTCTCAGTCTTTTCTTCCTGCCAAAATAGAGGAACTGTCAGTAGTTTCAAAAGAACCCAATCACAGTTGTATTAACCTAGAAACCTTGAAAAGGATTTCCATAAGTCAAGATCAACCTGATGGCATGTAATTAATTAAATATCCAGATACTGCCACTGTTCTTCTGCCAAGGCAGATTCTCCTATCTGAACCGAGTAAATAGTGCTTTTCAAAGTAACTGGACTGCTCTGGAGGTTCACACATACCAGTTTTGAAATGACTCATAACTGACACACAAACTTTTATTGTAAAGTACAGTGACACAACCATAGCCTCCCAGCTGGACAACTGTCTTAGAAGACACTGAGGACAACAACAACAAAAAATATGAATTACTGGAAATCACGTATTATAACATCATAGCTTCTAGCCCATCTTCCATGAACTTCTTATAGAGGGCCATGAACTTAGCCACAAATGCTTCCATGTGATAAATGGCCTTGCTGCCGAGTTGTAGTCGGTGTTCATAGAAAGCTGCCATTTGTGCAACCTCTCCTTTCAGTTGCCCATCACAATTGTTTAGAAGTTCAGACAGAAGGCCCTAAAAAGAGCAACACAAAACAGCATTTAAAAACCACAGGATTTTGTTCTTTTGAAAGCCACACCTCCAGAATGCTTACAGGTAATATAGTCATTCAATAATCTATAAAGGCACTAGGTGCAAATTTGGCTTTTCAAATGACAACTTCAGATTTGAAAGAAGGGAGAAAAACATAATACACAGTTATAGTCATCACATTTGAGGTATTCAATATATACCTAGAATCCTTTCCCATGTACAGAATCTGAATGCAAAATGCCATGAATGGTGAAAAATCAAAAAGGTACAAAGTCTCTCCATCAAGCCACAGCTCTATTTAATCCCAGCCTCACATATTTTTAAAAAATCAAACGTGCATTACCTTTATTATGATTTCTGGAGGAATGCAATGAGTTAAAAGTTCATAAAGTCGACCACGAACTTCAAGCAATCTGTTGAAATAAAATGTTAGGACACTGTTAAATTACAAAGTCAAAAAACTCACTTCTGAGAATAAGAAGTTCCATTAAAAAAACCTTTCAGCTATCCAGTGCTAACTTCTAAAGAATTTACATGAAATATTGCACATTTTTATCATTTTCATGTCCACTTTTAGACAGTTTCAGACATTAGCATGTTCATGTCTACCAGCTCAGTTGCTTTTATTGCTCTTGCCTCTCTGAAATGGTATTACATTCTAATACATTGTCTCTTAAATCAGAATTTGTAGGAGCACTCTTTCCTCAATTCACATAAGGGATGTGATTTCCATCTTTTCCTTTTCTGTGTGAAATTCAAGATATGAAGGACGAGAAAATATCCAGATAATGGGAAACTAGAAAAACTGGAGGCAAAAAAATATCACCAGCAAAATGTTTCCAACAGGAAAAAAAAACAGAAAAGTGAATACAAAACACTTTTTGAAATAGTTTTAAGACAATATTTCAAGCATTCACAATGCCCAGAAATAGCATTGTATGAAGGTTTGTATATAAGATAATCTAGTCAAAGAGTGATTGTCCCGTGCATAGTTTAGAAATACATGATGCTCAAATACAACAAGCATTTCTACATAAACAGTGTGATTTCCAAAGTGACAATAGGTCCACTTCATAGAGGAAACAGAAATAATGGGGGACCTGCTGAACACCTACTTTGCCTCAGTTTTTCCCCCAAAAGAAAACTGCTCAACCTACCGTAGTAGAGACAGAAAGGAGGTAGAAGGGAGGGGGATTAAATTGAGCAGATCTCAGTTCTGCACCCACAAAAGCTGCTATAGTCTAAACACAAATGAACCATTCTAAAAGTGAAGTCCCTGGCAGAAGCAAGCAGAACTTGGAAGAATACAGTTTTTGGACTGTAGCTTGCACAGGCCAGCAGAGATGACAGGGATTCTGAAAGTCATAATTTAAAAAAAACTTTCAAAGATCAAGAAGAAAGTAATAAGGGGACAAACAGGATGGAGACTCTTCTCTCATTAGAAAAAACACATATTTTCATTAACAGCAGTTTATGAAGTCCTAAGTAAGCATCTATTTTTCTGTGCCAGAGGACACATAGGAAAAATCATTCACATTAAAAAGAACAATTTAAAGAGATCCATGTTTAAAACTGAATCCTATATTGGACTAGAATTTGAACAACATATTCTCCTACAGTGGAAGCTCTTATACTACTTTAATGAGATTAGTAGCAAAATACACAACTAACGGTATCACTCATTCACAGGTGTAAAAATTAAATGCTCCAAATTCACCATGACAGGCTGTCATTCTGTTTCTGCCAATGTGACGTGTCTCCAGCCAGTCAAATGTTTGGCAGACACAAGAATGTTCAGGCAGCAATGTATCACTGCCAACCCCGCTGCACTTCATAGCTGAAAGGGTAAAAAGGCTTTACAGCACTATAGAAACAAACAAACAAACAGCTCAGTTCCAGCTCGAAATACCTCATTGCACAGAGCAATTTTTTTTACAATAGCTCAGTTCATGGCAGCATTAATGAGAAAATTAATTAGGTGTCTCCTAAGGGAAAAAAAGAAAAAGAAAAGAGGAGGAAAGTGTTCTTTAGCCTACAGCTATGTACTGCAGACAACCTGCTTACAAGCACCTTCAAGATACTCCATTGTAAGGTTCCAAGATGAGTTTAACTGAGTCTTAATATCAAAAGTTACTGTGTTTTAATGGAACTCTTTTTTTTCTAAAACAGGTTGTGAGCTGTCTCAGGTTCTCCACCCCCTGGACAACTAGAAAAATCTGATCCCACAGAATCAATTTTTAAAATCCTGTAAAGTGGTAAGCCTGAGACATTATTGAAGGAGAAACTATTTTTAAAGCACACTGATCTAAACAGCCATGAAAAAGCAGTCAGCCCACTGGTTAAAAGCTTTGTCCTTTGCAGCCAGCAATTTCTTGAAATCACCAGGGAGAGGGCCAACCTAGCCTCTTGGAGAAAATCTTCATGATCTGGGAATAGCCACCTGGAAAGCACCTTTCCACATCCTTTATTAGGCAGTTTGCCTCTGAGGGTAAGAGAACCAAGAAAATAGCTTTCTATCTGAATCTTGAAGCCTGGACTACCTGTGTAGGAGAACATATACAAACCACCCGAGCCCAACACTTCACATGGATTTTTTTCCAGTGGGTGCATTCCACCATAATGTACTATGATGTGGAAATATGACTGTTCTCTGAAATGAGCTCAGTCACCTGCTATAGGCACAACAATTCAGCTTCTGGATGATATCAGTATGTCTAGACCATGGCAGACATCTTGTGGTCCTACAGATATTGTTGGACCGTAACTCCAACACTAGCTACACTGGCTAGAGCTAGTAGCAATACAGTCAAGCAACACCTGAAAGGCCACATGGACCCCGCTCTGATACTTTTTGCATTCTGCAACATTTTTTTAATGTCAGAAAATACATACAACAAAAAACACCACCAACCACACTCCAACTGGCTTGCTTACCTTTGGGGAGTCTGTTGACTAACAATGGCATTTGCTGTCTCTCTCAAATACACCTCCCAGTCAGTCTCAGAGATGTCTTGATCAGGAGTGAAGGGGAGCCTGCACAGTATGCAATAAACAACTGCTCAGAACACCTTACAAACTAAACTGCCTCTTCTACCCATTCACCGTTCTTGACTTACTGTTGCACTCTGCATGCCTCACACATCAAAAGGGCCTTTCGGAGATTCCTGCCAGACTTTTCTGCAATCCTCCGAGCCAGTTCTTGAGGAAGAAGCAGACCTTCTTTCTTACACACACTGGACAGTACTGTGGAGATCTAGAAAGTTAACAAAACAATTTGTAGATGTGTATCACAGCTTGTTTTTCAATTACCTCAGCAATCTACATGACGTTACAAAGCTTGCAGAAGTCAAATATGAAATTTGCCATGCAAATCAAGTATGTAAAAGGAGATCATTATGTAGGCAGAAGGACCCGCTTCACAAACAATTCTCGGTGGCTGACAGTAACCACTTTCAGTTCATCTCATGGTTCACTTACATTGGCTGCCATAAGTACAACATGCATTGCACCATCATCCCTGGGTAACACATAGCAGCAATATAATTATACAGTGGTGCCTCGCTTAGCGATCGCTCCGCTGAGCGATGAAATCGCTTAGCAATGGGGTTTTGGCCATCGCCAGAGCTATCGCTTAGCGATGGCCCCTATGGGGGGAAATCGCTTTGCGATGATCGCGGGGAAGCGATCATGGCAAAGCGACCCTTTTTGCACAACTGATCGGCGGTTTCAAAATGGCCGCCAGTAAAACAAAATGGCCACCTGCTGTTTTGCCTCGCTTTAGAGGCACCGAAAATGGCCGCCCCTATGGAGGATCTTCGCATAAGGTCAGTTTTTAAGCCCATAGGAACGCATTAAACATGTTTTTATGGATTTCTATGGGCTTTTTAAAATCACTTAGCGATTAAATCACTTAACAACGTTTTTCCTGGAACGGATTAACGTTGCTAAGCGAGGCACCACTGTACTCTGTGTGCAATTTTCCACTCAGATTAGATTTAGATTAGGCATCCTTCAGTCTCAAGACTATGGTAATGTGCTCTGTATGGAGGACTTGGAACAGCATCTGCTGTGGCTAAGAAGACCAATTTGAGAGCAACAATCCCTTCCACACGGAAGTCAAATACAATCTGTCCCCTGTCCAGCTCCCTGATTTTGCTGCTTTCGTGACTGCCTCTTTACCTTCGCCTGCTGGATAAGCGTCTCTTCAAAATGGGAGAGGTCATGATGCACCGCCTGCCTCCAGGCTGAACACTCAGATATCAAGGTTTCCCGTTTATTGAGGTTCCATTTCAGTCACTCTGCCACACTCATTGATGAGATTTAGAGTTACACAGTGGTGCCTCGCTTGATGACATTACTTCGTTCCAGCGAAATTGCTGTAGAGCGAAAACGTCATAAAGCGAAATTAAAAAGCCCATTGAAATGCATTGAAAACCATTCAATGCATTCCAATGGGCTGAATACCTCAGCGTCCAGCAAAGATCATCCATAGGGCAGCCATTTTCGGGTGCCTGTCTTGCGAAAAATGCCTCCTAAAAACAGTGGGGAGCCATTTTGAGCAGCCGGCGGCCATTCTGAAACCCGACGATCAGCTGTTTTCCGATCGTCGTAAAGCGAAAATTGGTTCCCGAAGCACGGAACCAATCATCGTTAAATGAAAAAAAAAAAAACATTTAAATCATCTTTTTTGCTTGTTTGTTTTTACATTTTTCTAGACTGCCCATATGGCCAAATGGTCACTCTGGGCAATGTCCAGGCTATTTCATGCCCCACACTCTACTACCTCACACTGCAAACTTTGTTAAGCAAACCCCAAATTCTTTACAACCCACATCTTTGAAGCGAGTACCTGTAAACCTAATTTTGATGGATTACATGCATGCAACACGTAACATAGTAATTCACCAGTGGATAGCATGAGTAAGTCAAGGGAAGAATCAAACAAAGAATTCTAAGTCAGACAGCATTACACAGAATAAGATATTGTAGTTGCTTAAACTTTGTACTAGGTATCCATTTGCCTTTGTTTTGACTTACATCTCCAATGCTGGGGGCAGGCACTCGCACTGCCAGGCATCGGCTCCTGATAGGTGCAATGACTTTGGATGTAGAATTGCAACAAAGAATTAATCTGCAGGTGGCCATGTACTTTTCCATGGTTCGTCGCAATGCATGTTGGGCATCTTTTGTAAGTTTGTCCACTTCTGTCAACAGCACCACTAGAAGAAAATGAACAAATCACCCTTAGCCACTTTATTGCTGAATAAATTTTAATGCAGTTTTTTGTTTCATATACAGTGGTGCCCCGCATAGCGACGATAATCTGTTCCGGAAAAATCGTCGCTATGTGGATTCGTCGCTATACAGAACAAAAAAGCCCATAGGAATGCATTAAAACACCGTTATGCGAAAATCCTCCATACGGCCGCCATTTTCGCTGCCTGGTAAGCGAGGAATGGGCGTGTAAACACAGCGGGCGGCCATTTTTTTTACCCAGTGGCCATTTTGGAACCGCCAATCAGTTCTAAAAACATCACTATGCAAAAATCAGTAAGCGAAACAGCTTACCGATCATCGCAAAGCAATGCTTTACCATTTAAAACATCACACTGCGATCGCAAAAACTTAATCACTATGCGGATTCATCGTTAAACAGGACGCCTTTTATGCGGGGCACCTCTGTAAATATGTGGATCAGTTTTAGTGCATCTACCTATCCATGGCTCAGAGATTCCCTTTCTAGACAACATTTGGGAGTTGTGCCGCCCCCCAAGCAAACCTAAGTTTGCCTAAGTATTACAACCAGTTCAGCATTTCAAATCACATCTTCCCCTTTGAAAAAGCACAATGCTAAAAAGAAGATATGGACTTAATGGAGATGGAGGAACACACAAACACTCAGCTTCATTTCTGCGGCTAGAATGTAATTTACACTTATTTCTAAGTGCTATGGGAAACAGCTTCCATGCAGAAACGGTTTCCACAAAATTTTGAGAGCATACACGTTACAAGCTAAGAGCTTGAATTGACACTTTTTTTTGGTTTTCAAACAACCCTGCAACTTTCCCTTTTCACCAACAATAAAAAAAGCCAGTTCAAACTACACAATGAAAGGGCCAGGTAGAATTGGTGGACTGGATGATGTGCTATTTAAAGTAATATTGTTAAACAATTGACTGATACTGTTATGAATTTCTTATATTTAATATTCAAAAGTAGCAAGCTTAGCAATATCATTTTTGCCATAAATAAATAAATAAATACCATAAACAAAAATTGATTTCACCAGATTACTGAACATGTACCACCCATAGGACATGATACTGGGAAAATGGCTTTGACTGTTGTAAAATCTGTGGCATTCGTCAGATGAGTTTTTTGTTTACCAGGACTCCCAGGTTTCTGCAGCTAGAATGCAAGTGCAAGTCTGTTGAGCATACTGTTCCTTCAGCATGGTGGCAAGCGCTTTACATAATACATTATCTGAGCTTTTCTGTCTCGGATGTCCCCATCATCTATACTGGATGGGCTGAACGAAATCCCCATTCCACCCCCAACCAATATGATATCAGTCACTGATCAGAGACAATGGGAAAGCTGTCACCTTCTATCCATCATGGAGTAGGAGGTAGGACTTCAGGGAGCTTTCTATAGCATATGGGAAAACCACCACATTAGAGAATATATATGTAAAGGAACAAGATATTTACAAAGTGAAGTTGTATAAATCAGAGTAAATTGCCACTAATACTATTCACATTCTTGGCTGTGTGCCAAGTTGCACCAATGACTCAAGACCAGGGATGTGAGCAGTATTTTCTTACTTAGAAGCAATTCACACCATGATCAATATAATTACATTCAACTTGGCATAAATCCCCTACGGAATTCTGACCTTTTCACCAGGATTATATTTTATTTACCAACCTTTAAAATCTCGCTGAGTACTTGTCTCAAGCTGTTGTGATTGTGCTACCGTCTTCAATAATTCCTGAATCACCACCCGATCACTGTTTCCTGCATCACTGAAAAAAGTTTAGATAAGAAAATTTTTAAAAAATGTATTCTCCCTTTCTGTGACATATTTTAAAAAAAAAATGATCCTGTGTAAATTTAATCAGAAAAGTACCACCATGGATTCAATGTAGCATATTCTTGTGCAAACATCTGAGCTTGGAAAATTTCTTTTTTGTTTGACTACAGATCTTAGACTGTGTCAGCTAATATGGCCATAACTCTGGAACATGTGCATAGGTACACTATATGTATAAGCATCTATAAAAATCTCCCAGATTGAAGATCCATAGGAACTCCCAAGATTTATAAAGCTACATACTAGCAGAGCTCTATATTTGCTTCAGTGCAAAGTAAAGTTGCATGCACCATGGGGACATGTAGACAGAGCTGTCAGCAATATCCAGAAATGTGGGAGAACAGAACTCTTTCTGAAGAGTATCGAGTCTCCATTTATAAGAAGCCACTGGACTGGAGAATAGTTATCTATGCATAAAATAGGGACCTCTTATCTGCAGAGTCAGTATCTATGGTTTCAGCCGTCCACAGTCAGTGCTGCTGCAACCCAGCTTACGGTGCACACCACAGAGCACATTTGCACTTACCACATCCGCTCACCCTTCTACATGCCTCTTGCTCTCTTTAATGGGTTTGATACTATGCTTGGTTTCATACATCTACAAATAGGCATGAAATCTATCCCCAGCAGAGATGGAGGTCCTTCTGTAGGTATGTATGCACCTCTCTATCTATCCATCCAATCAGGCTCCCTGCGGAAGCAGTAGGCTAAAACAGGACAGCAATTTTGATTGGGCAGATTTGCTCCAAGGACCTAGTGGGCAACACTTGCTATTCCCATCAACAACTGCAAACTGCTTGAAGATATTTAATACTAGCAAAATGTCTCTTTGAAATGCCCATTAACTGCAGCCAAAATCCATGATCACAAATTATCACCAACTTTTGGCAGTGGAGTTTCTGGAAGTGGCTTGGGAAGGGAGTGAAAACAATCTTGGGGGTTGCCTATTCATGGATTAAAAGCTAGCATCATCCTAACTAGCATGCCAGGTACCAGACTGGGGGTGGGTGAGCTACAAAAATAAGCTTCATTATATACTTATTCTAAAACATCTTTGAGAATAATGAACATAAAAACAGTTGGAGGGCACACTGGGAGGTGAAATACAATTGGATGTTTAAGTTGCCTTTCCCACTTTGTGCCTAAAGTCAGTACAGTGGTGCCTCGCTTAGCGATTGCCTCGTTTAACGATGTATTCACTTAGCGATGAGGTTTTTGGAGCGATCTTGCGCTCCGTTTAGCGATGTTTCCAATGGGGAAATTTCGCATAGCGATGTTTGGGACCTTGCTTCGCTTAGCGATGACAGTTTAGGTCCCCCTGTTTCACTTAGCAAGGTTTTTGACAGCTCCCTTTTCACTATTTTTAAAAGGTGTTAAATTGTTTAAAAGGGGTTTAGAGTGCTTGAAATCGTTAGTGCACTTAATAAACCCTTTGTTAACCAAATTTGGCTTCGTTCTGATTCTTTTTGAGCTTTTGGTGATTTTTCTTCTCCTCCATTGAAATGCATTGAAAAGGTTTCAATGCATTCCAATGGGGGAACTGCGTTTCGCTTAGCGATGTTTCCTATGGCGATTTTCGCTTAAGGACGGTAATCCGTTCCCATTCGAATGGATTATCCGGTTTTCAATGCATCTCTATGCAAAAACACGTTTCGCTTAGCTTTGTTTTCCCATAGCGATGAATTTTTTGGAACCAATTAAAATCGTTAAGCGAGGCACCACTGTAATTCTTTTAAATTCTTTCAAGGATAAGAATAAAATGACTCATGGTAAAATATTAGCTGTTCAGTGGAGAGATTCTCTCCCCCAGAAATTAGATGTACAGTGGTGCCTTGCAAGACTATGTTAATTCGTCCCGCGAAAATCGCTGTCTTGTGAAAACATGTCTTGCGAAATGCGGTTCCCCTTTGGAATGCATTGAAATCCGTTTAATGCATTCAAATGGGGACAAATCGTCGTCATTTTGCGAAAATCACCCATAGAGAAACCGCTTTGTGAAGCACCGATCAGCTGTTTAAATCGCTGTCATGCGAAAAATGGATTTGAATTAATAAGATCATATTATGATTAAGAATGAAAATAGAGAAGTCTTAACTGTCTCCAGGTCTAGAAACCCCAACACAATCTGAGGATACAGTCAGGGGACTTTGGCCCAAAGGGGCTTGGTTTTTATATTTCTAACATCACAATCCTACACATCCTTACCTTGAAGTAAGTTCCACTGCACTTTTTCACTGACACCAACAGAAGACTAAGCTCTGTCTGCACAACTCCAAATCACAACATGGCATATACATAGGAAGGAACTCAATAACATATAATTGTCAATGGTTTCAGAAGCTTAAAATATCATTTTTTAAAATTACACTACAAACCAAAATTATTATTTATGTCTTAATCTCCAGCCTACAAAATATAGTCACAAAAAATGTTAATTCAAAAATGGTTCTTTTCAATGAAATACTGTAATTCTCATTGTTTAAGGAAAACTTCCTTGCAGCTATAGTTTGTTTGAAACACACTACTGCACATTTCTGACGGCCTGTTATTACATAAAATGAGCTGACTACCAACTTACCTTGGGTTAACTTCAAGATGATAGTTGCTTGCAATAGTGCTAATTTCAATTTTCTTTTTGGAAGGTGCCTGAAAAGAAAGAATACAGACTCTGAGGCCCACTTTTAGAGACTTAACAAACATCACTAAATATTCCAATATTCAGTGTAGGGATTTCTAAAACCAAACACTGCTACCTGCCCAGCATGACATGATTTGAAGTAATTTGAAGAGTTCACAGTCCCAAGGCCACAATGCACTGGGCAAATGGCTAAAGAAAAAGGACCAGCAAGTGGAGTGGAATACAAGAAAAGGAGAACACCAAAGGTTCAAAGACACTAACATTCTAGAACACATAAACAGAAAGAGACAAGAGATGTTAGTATAGTATGGTTATTCTTTCATTGTCAAAAAGAGAATTCCAATACATCTAAAATATCCTTGTGCTACTCTTATACCTAAATTTGCAAGTTATGTAGAAAACACATGCTCTGCATGCAGAAGGGCTCAGGCTGATTCTCTTAGTATTTTCAGGAGCCTAGAAAGCCATTCAGTTATCAATGGTACTGAGAAAAAAGGAGCAATGATCTGACTTAGTATAAGGCACCTATATTCCTGCAATTTAAGCAGAAACCATTCAAAAGGGTAAGACTGTGGCTAGATGGCCTGTACCCACTGCTCATTCTGCTGTGCAGGTGAGTGCTAACTGCTCATGGATAACTTGAGTGTACTTTCCCATCCTTCACTACCTTTAAACTGAACTCTGTTTAACATCTCTTCAAAATTTTCAAATAGAATATTGGCTTTTGTAAAGTAAACTGCATGACCACTCTAAACTATATAATACCAAGGCAATCGCCAAAATCCTCTTGGTGTTCATCTGACCTTTGCACTACTTGCCATGGCTAAATGCCAAGGTGCCTGGACATGTCTTGGTTGTGCAATCAGCCACATGCCAGACATGTGCCAAAATACATGGCTGAGCCTCAGCATTAGCTATAACAAACTCCACAAATATGAGCATCAAAAGGATCTGGTTATCATTTATTTATTTCACTTATATCCCAGCTTTCAGCCAAAGTAGTGCTCAGCTATAGTTCCTGCCCTTTTCATCACGCCTGGGTCCAAATATAGAAAACAGGCATCTCTGTTAAACACCCAAAGATCTGTAAAATACTAAAGTGCAAATGCAAATATACTGTATATTGTACTATTGTTTTTACATGTAAAATTCAAACAACCACATTTGTTATGCACACTTTGAAGTTGCTTTTACAGTATTTCAATTTCATATAATTTTTTTTAAATAAACACATCAGGGACCATCTGAAAATAAAGCAAACAAACAAAGAGCAAATTGAAGGGAACGTATAATCAAGGTATAATCCTGCAACTTTTTTTTTTTTAAAAAAAAAGTGCAAGCATTGTTGTGCCACTGCTAATTAGAGAAACTAGGAATTAGAACCCTGAATTGGATGGCACTCAAAAAACATCTGACAACTGACAACACCAAGTTCTAATCACTGGACAAAATTCTATTGTAAAAAGTTGTGCTGGTGTAAACCAGACCTGGCACCAGAAATATTTTATTTAAATGAACTGAAAGTTTCCTATTCTCCTTCCTCCGACTTCAGGCTTTGAGGCTCCCTTTTGTTCCCAAGAGAAAGCCTTGGGAACCTTGGAATGGGGGGAGGTTTTAGCAGTCAAAATTTACAGCTGTTAGTGCCTAGAACCGATGGGCCTTGTCTATCCCACATTTAGAGGGTATCAAGGCTGTGGAAGGCTGGGTGAGAGGTAAGTGACAAAACACCTCTAGACTGGACAGTACTGTAGATTCAAGTGGCAGGAACACACCCTGAATTTTAAAGAGGAAAAGACCTAATTCAAAACCACTAGCAGGTCTTCAAAACCTTAACATTTCGATCAACCTTTTTCCACCAAGTTCCCATTTCCAGCTGTGCCATGCAGAGGTTAAACAGCATGTGGAAAAAGATGAATCCAGCAGCACCTTGAAGCAATGATGCTATGAGGTTGGGAACAAATGCTGTGGCACCATCTTCTCAAAATGGCTAGTGAAGTCTGTACAAAATCAGAGAAGGTCGGCCCCAACGTAGCCATTCAGAAAACCACTTTAGAAGAATATAATAGTTGTCAGTGCTGAAAGTCATTGGAAGATCAAGGACAATTAACAGAGCAGCATTTTCCTGCCTCTCTTCTGACAAAAGCCATCTCACAGAGTAACAAAGCTATTCTGGTGCCAAAATCAGGCCCAAACTGTGACTGAAAGGTGCAGAATATCACTTCCTGTTGAGAGCCTGCAGCTGATCTGCAAGCCTGGAGCTGATCACACAGAAAAGTGCTTTGCAAAAGAGAACATTCACCATCACTGATTAAGTTTCTTGGGGACCTATGAAGGTTTCCTAAAAAATGATGACAATATTGCTTCCTTAAAGGATGCTGGAATCACTGTCTCTTAAATGAGAATTGGCTACCATGCAGACCTAATGAACTGTCTGCACGTTTCCAGATGTAATCAGTCATGAGGGGGAAATATCATACAAACATGTGAGCAGCTGAATGCTAAAAAGGGCCCTGTCCATTTCACAATAATCAGACAAAATCTGAACTGATATTTTAAAAGCATACTCACATTCTGTATGCAAAGTTATTTTTATCAAACACATGCTTACTGTTACAATCTGATGTTCAATCCTCAGCTTCTCCACTCCAGAACCATACAGTTCTCTCAGCAGACACATTATTCTGGTCTTTTTTCCAGCTCCTGATGGACCATATACTAATAGATGAGGAAAATCACCACACTGAACCTGTCAAATGGAAAGCAATAAAATTAAAACATAGGAATGGTTTCTTTGGGTAAGTCAACATGGTAAAAAAAAAAAAATTTTAAACATGATACATATTTGGATATATTCTTTCCCACCCAAGTTTTTTTAAAGGCCACCATATTTACCCATGAGAGAGCAAACAAATGTAACATTGATGATCATGTATGGTGTGAGGTTGGAGCAGCCCTGATGCACTAAGACTGTGTCTTCTTGAAGCCAGATTGCTATCTGCTTAGACTTCATTTTTAAACAAATTTTACCTAACTTTAAGTAACAGAACAAAAATGAAAGCATAATACAGAAAGGTGAAAACATGGCTATTTCTTCAACATAACAGCAATGCACTGAGATGACAGTTTTGCTGCGAGGCTGCACATTGCTACTTGGAAGAAAGCCCAATCGAAAGGTTATAGCTCAGCAACAAAAGCACAAGCTTCACATACAGAAAATCCCAGATTCAGCTCTGGCATCTCTATCCAAGTAGGGCTTAGAAAGAGTCTCATCTGGAATTTTACAGAGTTGCTGAGGATAAATGAATCAATGCCTTGAGTCAGTATTAGCTTACTATGGTCCTAATGAGATCAATATTTAAGCAGAAGTTAATGAAAAACACCAATTCCAAGAACAATGGAGACTAATACCTTTATCAGACCACTAAAATATTAAATACAGGAGAGATTGAGTTGGGATTTTTTCTTCAGGCAGAGCACTGCTGAGCTTGACAGGATAGGAAGAAGCTATTCTGTTTCTCCAGCTCTCCCTCAAACTCTGCAGTCCCCAGCCTCATGAAGGATCTGTCTAGACTTGAAAGCTGACCTGTGCTTAATAAAGGTATTACCCACCCTTTTTTTTTAATAAAAGCTCTTATACCTAAGTAGTCTTGGAGTCAATACTGGCATACTGTAGTTTCCAAATTCTCTTTGTTAAATGTTTCATAAATCTCTTACAATAAATATTCTGGGATTCACTCAACCATCCTGCCAGGTCATGGGCATCCCCCTTCACACCCTGGGGTCCCTTCATCTAGCTCAATTTCAGCTAGAGTTACTAGAACTTGCATTCCAGAACCAAGTCTGTCTTGGCTCCAGGGAATCACTGAGTCACATGAATAACCTCAAGCCCAAAGTGGGGTCATTCTGGGTTTAACAGAGCAGTTGCATATTTTATGGTAACAATACCAATGGAGTTCCTATTTCATTTTTGACCTGATAAAAAGTTCTCAACTGTGCTGGCAAATTAAGTAGAAATAAGACAGTCACTCTGGGATAGTTTAACGTTGCATAAACTCGACCAGGCAATAGTACCTTGTGTTGCAGGAAACAAGGTCCAAAAGGAGGAAATGGCAATCACAAGTGACTGACAACAAACACTGAGGCTTAAGCTTGCTTAAATGTAAATAATTGCACGCATGAAGGCATGGCATAACTGCACATCTACATAAACATCTCTTAAAGAATGTTGTATGTTAAGCCAAAGATCAAACCAAAAAAAGCAAAATTTCAGTTTGCTTTACAAAGCAATTGAGCTCTGATCACACTACTGAAACTGTCCCACTAGCCCACAAATAATTCTTTGTTTCCTAATTTAGATCAGACTGCATACTTAACTTTGTATTTATCTTCTAGAATCAAACTACCACAGTAATGTATGTCTTACTTGCATCCCATATGGAGTACAATACTGTAACACACTCAGCATGAGGCTCCCTTTAGAAAGTATTCCTTATCTTCCTTGGATTTAACACATTGCAATTAAACTGTTGACTAGACCCTGTTATTAAGAATAGAAATTCATTGCTATGGCAGTTTCATTGACTGACTACATGTGCATTTCTGGGCATAATTCAAGCTGCTGGTTATGAAATCCTATACAGCTTGAGTCCAGGCTATCTGAAAGACTGCATTAAACCAAATGAGCCTACATGGATCTTCATAAGTCTTTCTTTTTCCACCACTACCCTCGCAGGTATATCTGATGTGGATACAATACCTTTCCCCTTGTTGTTGAAAAACATTTTAAATGCCCTTTAAACTGTACTAATTCAGTGCTTACTTCAACATAATCATTTAATAGTATTTCTGTACTTTAGTTTATTGTGGATTTCCTACCCGTGCCTTTAAAAGCTCAAAATTGTAAGGCACTGTGGGTCCTGCAAAGGAAGAAGACATAAACTAATTTAATTAAGACACAGAAAGAAAAGTACTCAGAATCATTACACTTGATTACTGGAGACACATGTAGAAGGACTCAAACCTATTAGCCCTACTTACCAATTATTGCTGTTGTGACTTGCCACAATTTTAGGAACACAAAGAAGTGTTTTGCAATGAACCACATCATTGGTTCACCTCATTCAACACTGCTAGGGAGACAAGACACAGCATTGCCTAAAAGTTCTTATAGGCAACTTTCCACCCCTGTCTGGGACTGTTTATCTTTTATCACCCTTAACCTTTCAGTTAAAATGTTCAAACTACACTTTTTACATTGTCATGTGCCTAGTGGGTCAGCTTCCTGTTTTTAATCAGTTTGCTTGTATGCCCACATGCAAAAATATATCTCAAACTAATGATGCTCTTCATGCATCCAAACAAAATCCTTCACAAACAGAATACCTACACGTGTGTCAATGTACTTAACAATCAAGGACTCCTCTTATGTGTTCGATACAATCAGGAGCAGAATGCCACAATCATTTCAGAATCTAACACTGAGTACAGAATTAGAACAGAGTGTTAGAAAAGATTACACCTGAACATGTGCAAAGGGTCGTTCCTCCATTTTAGCTTCACCCCTTGAACCTCATTCAAAAGTGAGCCCCTCCCCCCAGATGCGGCATAGGCTTTCATGAGCTTCTGCTTTCTTGTTAGCCACATCACGAAATATAGCCCCAAACCGTAAATATATTTACAGAACACTGTGGCTGCTTAGACGCCTTTTTTTGCTCGTTTGTTATGATGTGCCTGAAGCTTGGCTCTGAAAACTCAAGAGACGGGTAATCTGGTGTTACAGCGCGCAGAGGAAGCTACAATTTAAGAGCAAAACATTCTCAAATTTTTTTTTTTTTTTTTTTTTTTTTTGCTCGTTTGTTATTATGTGCCTGAGGCTTGGCTCTGAAAAGTCAAGAGACTGGTAATCTGGTGTTATAGCGCGCAGAGGAAGCTATAATTTAAAAGCAAAACATTCTCAAACGAGCTGGAAAGCAGGAGAGAAGCAGCAGCAGTAGTAAGAACTGAGCCCGGGACCTGGTGAGGCACCCGAGCATGTGCAGAATGCAGGCGGAAAAGACGCTTTTCCCCTTCCTTTCTCAGAAGCCAGGAACCCGGCCGCTGCAGCCTCTCACCAGATTGCGAAGCTGCGCTGCTTGTTCCCGGTGATAATCTAGTTTGCTGAGGGAGCTCGGCCGATACTTGTCCACCCAGAGGCTCATGGCTGCGAATCAAAAGCTGGAAGAAAGAAGCGGGTTGGGGGAGAAAAAAAGCAAGCGCGCGCTCCCTCAGTACGAACGCGCCGCCTCCAGAATTCCCGCCCGCCAGACGTAAACACCGTGGCGCGGGTGATGTAACTAAACAACGCATGCGTACGCTGCACGAGCCCTCCCTTAAAGAAGTTCGCTATTAAGGGCTTCCGGCATTTGGAACCACGCCTTTTTTTTACGGTGGCCGCCTTGGGACAAAAAGAAAAGAAAAGGAGACTGCGTTGCGCGCGCAGAGCAGGCGAAGAAGAATAACAATAGCGTCCTGCGCGCAATATGCAGAGGAGCGGTTTGCAGCGAGGCGTCGCGTTTCTCCAACGATGTTTGTAGAGTTGCAATTTTCTATATATCTTTCCTGAGACTAAGTATGATGCAGTAGTTAAAAGGGCTAGATTTGGGAGCATCCAGGTTCATCTCCCCTGCCAGCTCTGCAATTCAATGATGACGTAAACCAGCAACTCTCCACCTGAGATACACCTTTACGACAAGCAATACAGGATGATTGTACAGTAATGTGAAATATGGAATAGTATTTATTGAAATATTTGTTGCACTCAGGTCATTTCTGACCTATGGCAATACTTTTGAGGTATATAAAATGTTCAGGGAGTGGTTCACCTCTGCCACGCTGTATAGTGAGTTTCTATGGCCAAATGGAAATTTGAACCCAAGCGTTCTCAGCCCTACTCAACTAATCCTAGCAATTAATTCAGTGCTAGTTAGAAGTTAACCATATTAGATAATTAAGCCCAACATATAAGAGATAAGAGGATATGTTTCATAGAGCAGACTTACTAGCAAAGTAAGCTGAAAGAGAATGACCAGCCTGAAGCCACCCAAAGAGTTTTGTGATTAGTAGGGGATTTGAACCTTGATCTCAGACTGACACTCTGCTAGACACTAACCCTGCTGGCTTTCTAGAACCGTGAGAAATCGTGTTCAACGTAAGGTTACTACGGCTAAGAAAGCACTATACTGCCCCATTAACAGAGTCACAATTTAGCATAGTGTAAGGAGATGAGTTTCGTAGGGCCAGACCAAAAATGATGTCTAAGTCAGGTGCAGAAAGGTGGAGACCATGGCTTTCTTTAATGTCTGAAGCCACCCCATCTTCCACTTTTTCTTTCATTGTGGTATTTTCCAGTGAACTTGTGTTCTGTGGATAAGTCTAAAATAGTCCCTGCCTAATTATTTCAGCTTCTGTGAGAGTTCAGGTTTGATTTGATCTGGCGCAAACTTCCTTGTTTTTGAGGCAGTCCATGGTATCCATTAATTGTTTTCCTTTAACACCACATGTTGAAACTGCCTTGATAATTTCTGAGAAGCTTCTTTTTCAAACAGGACATTAGGCCTATCAAAGCCATGAAGACCATCAGATTGGCCTTCTTTCCAGTTGAGCACAATTTAGGTGTCTTTAAAGTCTGGGTCTGGCAGGTGGGACCTCCAGAATGGAGAATTATGGAACATGTAGTTTAAAAATTCCAGAAGACATATCCAAGAGATCCAAGATTTGTAAACTTAGATTCAGGATACTGAAAGATGAACAGGAGAATATCAACAGGATAAATCAAGTGTCATACAAAATTGGCTACAGAATCATATTCAGAGGGTAATGATTAATGGGACCTTCTCTAACCGGAAGGAGGTAACAAGTGGGTTACACCAGGGCTCAGTCCTGGCCCTGGTGCTCTTCAATATTTTTATTAATGACTTGGATGAGGGAATGCTTGTCAGATTTGCAGATGATACCAAATTGGGTGGAATAGCTAATCCTTAGAAGACGGAAACAAAATTCAAAATGATCTTGATAGGATGGAGCACTGGGTCAAAAGCAACAGACTGAAATTTGACGCGGATAAGTGCAAAGTACTGTACCTCGGGAAAAGAAACCAATTGCACAGTTACAAGATGGGGAATACCTGACTTAGCAAAACTATAAGCGAGAAGGATCTTGAAATTGTTGTAGATCACAAGCTAAATATGAGCCAACAGTGTGATGTGGCTACAAAAAAGGCAAATCCTGTTTTAGGCTGTATTAATAGAAGTATAGTTTCCTAATCCCGTGAAGTTCTANAGAAGTATAGTTTCCAAATCCCATGAAGTTCTAGTCCCCTTCTGTTCAGTACTGGCTCGGCCTGACCTTGAGTACTGTGTCAGTTCTGGTTAGGCCTGACCTTGAGTATTGTGTCAATTTGCTAACAAAATCGAACAAGTTCAGAGGAGGGCGACAAGGACGATCAAGGGGCTGGATTGTCCTTGCCGCCTGTCCATATGAAGAAAGGCTGAAAGTGTTGAGCATATTTAGCCTTGAGAAAAGAAGACTGAGGGGTGATATGATAGCACTTTTCAAATATTTGAAAGGCTATCATACAGAGAAGGTGCAGGATCTGTTCTCAGTCATCCCAGAGTTCAGGACACACAACAATGGACTCAAGTTAAAGGAAGCCAGATTTTGGTTGAATATCAAGAAAAACTTCCTAACTGTTAGAGAAGTATGACAATGGAACCAGTTACCTCACGAGTTGGTGAATCAGTTATCTCAGGAGTTGGTGAGTGCTCCAGCACCAGAGACATTCAAGAAAAAATGTCACTTGGCAGATATGCTTTGATTGTCTTCCTGCATTGAGCAGGTGGTTGGACTTGATGGCCTTGTAGGCCCCTTCCAACTTCACTGTTCTATGATTCTATAACATATTATTTATCCAGGATAAAAGAAACTGTAGTTTGAAAAGCTAAACCAAAACGATGCAAGAATGATAGATTCCTTTGAAAAACAATCCTGGAATAAGAAACCTGGATTTTTAGTGAAAGTGGATTTCAAAACACTAGGAGTAGATAGGATGCCAACAAAACTATTTCAGAACATATAGAGACTGAAAGGACCTGTCAAAATTATTTTAAGAATGTGCCAGCAAATAAGGAAAAGCAAACAATGGCCCAAAGGCTTGAAATGTTCCGTATAATTCTAATCCCCAAGAGGGAAGATACCAACTATAGGACCGCACAGTTATTTCTCATGCAAGAAAAGTGATGCTCAAGCTGTTGCCCAAAATCTTTCACCATATAATGAGAAATTCCCAGTGTTCAAGCTGGATTCGAGAAATGGTGAGACAGTGAGGATCATGTTTCAAAGATATATTGACTACTGGAATGTACAGTACCAGAGAATTTCAAGATGATCCATCTATGCTTTATGGGCTTCTAACTGTTTGGCTTATGAAAAGTTATGGATTATTCTAAAACAAATGTGTGTGCCTCCAACATTTGATTATTCTAATGTATAATTTATACGGTGGAAAAGAAGTTATTTGAATGTAGAGAAACTGAATGTTTTCCTATAGTCAGTGGTGTTAGACAAGTATGTATTTAATTTCTCTGTAATGCAAAATACATCATATAGAAAGGTGGGTTAGATCCAGATGAAAGAGTAGTGAAAATTGGTGGACAAAATATCAATCACTTAAGATACTCTAGTGTGTGCATCCCCAAGCCTCCATGGCCAAAGGGTTATCATCAAAGGTATTTGGTTGGGTTGGTCATCAGTACACTGGAGAGCACCTTGTGCAGACAACAGGAACTTTATTATAAAACTGTATACATATGACCCACTGGCTTTGCAAGACATTTCAACCTTAAGACTTTAATACATCTTTCCTACCTATTAGGGTTTGATTTCACCCCTGAGGGGATAGACCAGAGTCTACCAAATGATTGCCCTCACCCCCAGTCTCTGAATGGCCAAGTCTTTTTTTCTGTTCTCCTGTGCATGGAGCTCTTGTAATTTTTGCAGTTGTCTTTCCCCTCTCCAGCAATGAAGCTGAGGCAGGGCAGAGTTTACACTAGCGGAGCTGTTCTAGACTGGTGGAGCAGGTACAAGCCACCTCCTTATAGGTACAGTCTCAGGCAGGTCTAAGAATCCCTTTGACTAGCCATGGTAGACTCTTTTGGCAATGGGTCCTGAAGAAGGATATTCTATGAGGCTGGTATAGTTGTAATAGAGGACCTCTGGGCATCATGGGCCATCCTGGAACTCTGGACCATCATTCCATGCATCCTGTTTTTATCTCTTCATTGCTTTCTCCCCTCACTGACCCAGGCTCCTCTCTTTTATCGCTTCACCCACTTCCCTTCTCAAAAGTCCCCATTCTTTCCGAATCTCAGGACCCTCCAGTTCTTCTGCAGCCATTGCAGTGCTTCATTGTGAGGGCTCAGCCATCCATGGGTAAATCTCCAGGTAAAGGATGACAAGCATATCCCTCTTCCTGATCACAGTTCCTGGGGGGGGGGGTTGTAGAAGGTGTCAAGGTTGGCCCCTTGCTCTGGGACATCAGCCACCCCCTCACAGCAGGTGAGTTGTAATTTTTGCAGTTGTCTTTCCCCTCTCCAGCAATGAAGCTGAGGCAGGGCAGAGTTTACACTAGCGGAGCTGTTCTAGACTGGTGGAGCAGGTACAAGCCACCTCCTTATAGGTACAGTCTCAGGCAGGTCTAAGAATCCCTTTGACTAGCCATGGTAGACTCTTCTGGCAATGGGTCCTGAAGAAGGACATTCTGTGAGGCTGGTGTAGTTGTAATAGAGGACCTCTGGGCATCATGGGCCATCCTGGAACTCTGGAGCATCATTCCTTGTATCCTGTTTTTATCTCTTCATTGCTTTCTCCCCTCACTGACCCAGGCTCCTCTCTTTTATGGCTTCACCCACTTCCCTTCTCAAAAGTCCCCATTCTTTCCGAATCTCAGGACCCTCCAGTTCTTCTGCAGCCATTGCAGTGCTTCATTGTGAGGGCTCAGCCATCCATGGGTAAATCTCCAGGTAAAGGATGACAAGCATATCCCTCTTCCTGATCACAGTTCCTGGGGGGTTGTAGAAGGTGTCAAGGTTGGTCCCTTGCTCCAGGACATCAGCCACCCTCTCACAGCAGGTGGAATAATATTACTGACAGAGAGCAGAAATGATTCTTGATTAAGGTAAAATAACAAAGTGCAAAAAACGAGGCCAGCTGAATATTAAGAAACAAAAATAATTACTACAGAAGAACTCCACAACTTTTAAGGTTGACAGTGAACCAATTCAGTCATCAATCTGAACAGAGACTATAGCCAAGAAACTGGAATAAGACAGAGATTTGG